TCATTTCCTTTTTTATTTCTGGTGCCAGGAGGAATTTGTCTTGCTTTTGAACTTGGTTATCTATTAAAAAAATAAAAAATAAAAACAAAGCAACACTCCTTATATATTGCCTAATGTACCTATGTGTTAAGGAGCTCTGGTGGCATAGTGGTTAAAGCATTTGGCTGTGACCCAGAAGTTTTGTGCTTCAAACTCACCAGCTGCTCCGTGGGAGAAAGATGGGGCAGCCTGCTTTCTTAAAGATTTACAGGCTTGGAAACCCTGTGGGGCAGATCCACTCTGTTTTATAGGGTCACTACCAATCAGAATCGACTTGATGGCAGTGAGTTTGCGTTTGGAGCCATGTGTTGTTTGGGGTGTGAGAGGTGGGATATGAAACTCCAGCATTTCCTTGGCCTTCCACTTGAACACTCTTTCACTTGCCAAATCCCCTTTGGCATAAATAAATAAAAATAAGTCCCAGGTCTGGCCCAGCATTGAAGACCCTCTGCTGTTTCACCCCTACCTTACCCTTCAGCCCAAACAAGCTCTTTCTTTTGCCATAATCCTCATCGTTCCCTATTACCTTTTATCTGGTCTGCTACATTCGTTTAGGTTTCCTGCCTGGGGCTGGAGTGTTGAACATCTTACTTTCTTGAGGGTGAATCCATGGCCCAGGCTTTTCTGTGTCCCTGGTGCCCAGCCAGGGGATGGCAAAGATTAGGAGCTCAGGAGATGCAGGAGGACTGGATGAAGAATCATGGAAAACACCAAGATGGGTGCTTCAGGCATTCACGCGGGTGGAGACGCGGCTGTGCGCTGTGCCGCCTGGGGAAGGATCAGAAGCTGAGGCTGGAAGAGAGGGACGCTGACTCCAGCCCGGTGCTCTGGAGTCAGACTATCTGGATTTGAATTCCAGCTCCACCCCTTTTCAGTTGTGTGATTCAACCTCTCTGTGTTGCAGTATCCAGTCTGTAAAATGGGGATAACATTAGAGTTATTTTAATGAACCTTTAATGAGATGTAAGGCACATGACAGGTGCCCTGTTGGTACAGCAGTTAAGCACTTAGCTGCTAACCAAAAGGTTGGCAGTTTGAACCCACCCAGCAGCTCCATGGGAGAAAGATATGTCAGGCTTAATGATTATAGTCTAGAAAACCCTATGGGGCAGTTCTACTCTGTCACATGGGTCACTATGAATGAGAATCAACTCGATAGCACTGTCAAAAATAAACTACTCAGAACACCATCAACAGATTGTTATGCAACCAGAATGCTCCTTGGAAGCAAGCATAGCCAGATTTCGTTTCACCTACTTTGGTCATGTTGTCAGAAAGGACCATTCCCTGGAGAAGGATGTCATGCTTGGTAAAGTAGACAGTCAGCAAAAAAGGGGAAGGCCCTCAATGAGATGGATCGACAAAGCGGCTACGACAATGGGCTCATGTATAGCAAGGATTGTGAGGCTGGCGCAGGACCAGGCAGCATTTTGTTCCGTTGTACATAGTGTTGCTAGGAGTCAGAGCCAACTCCATGGCACCTAATAGCAGCACATGCAGATTGAACAGACAATTTGCAAATTGGGCAGCATACCATCACCAAATGAATTAGTGCTCTGATAAATTAGGATTTTTAAAGTGCTTATATGCTACGTTACCGGAAACTTGGAAGAAAATTTCTAACTGGTTGATATTTTTATTTATTAAAAAATGTATATGTTCCAATGTTATTAAAGTTTAAATAAAAACTTTGCTAAGTAGTTACAAGGCAATCACAATGATGAGTGAGTCAGTTACAAGACCCCTGAAGTTTTGAAAACAAGATACACTTGTTGATTAATCTTGATTGTTTTCTGAAAGAATATGTTTCAAGTGAAAGTTAATGAGTAATGAAACCAGCCTCTTTGCTTTCAGTGAGCCTGGTCACTTAGAAAAAACTATATGAAACAAAATAAGCAATCTGTAAAGATTATAGTTTAAAGTATAGCTAAAAGATTATTTATTTGTTACAGTGCATAGATTTTTTTAACAACAAATTTAACAGATGATCTTTAGTGTCGTGGGGAAAAGAATGTTTTATATCTTCGTAATGCAAAACTTGTATTATTATTATTTTTTTAATAGCACCTAACAACAAAAGGAGCCCTGGTGGTGCAGTGCCTACGGCATTTGACTGCTAACCAAAAGGCTGGCAGTTCAAACCCACCAGCAGCTCTGCAGAAGGAGCTTAGCCAATCTGCTTCCATAAAAATTTAGTGCCTTGGAGACCCAACAGAGGTCGTTGTGAGTCAGAACCTATTCCATGGCAAATGAGTTTGGTCTTTTGGTTTTTGGAGCAACAACAAAGCACATAATAGTGGCACATAGTTGTTGTTCTTGTTGTTATGTGCCATTGAGTCAGACCTGACTCATAGCGACCCCTCCTTGGGTTTCCGAGGCAGTATCACTACGGAAGCAGATTGCCCAACCTTTCTTCCGAGGAGGGGCTGGTGGGTTCGAACCGCCTGCCTTCTGGTTAGCTGTCAAGTGCCATAGGCACTACACTACCAGAGTTAGCACTCAATAAACATTGGTTACTATTATTTGGTATTTATTAAGGTTCTCTTGTGTGCCAAGCGCCAGAGGGCACCAAGGCCATTTGGATTGGGGTTTCCTCTAGTGCAGAGACCTGCCCAGAGGAAGCCCTTCTCCAAAACTTGTCAACATATTGTCCCATCACTTATTTTTGTGTCAGGGGCTGGATCAGAGCAAGGCTTAGAAAGAAGCAGGAGTGAGGGAAGTTTCAGATCCCTGGGGTCACCTTCTGCTTCCCCAGCCTGCAGGGGCCTCCCAGGTGGGCCTGAAGCTCACAGAGAGGCCTTCTGCGCAGTCTCAATGCCCCCGGCCTACCTACAAAGAGTGGCTAAATATTCCCAGGGGCTAGGAAGTACAGGAGCTCTGGTAGCATAGTGTCTAAGAAACTTGACTGCTAACCAGAAGGCTGGTGGTTCAAATTCACCAGCCACTCCTGGAAAGGAAGGTTGGGCAATCTACTTCCGTGGTGATACTGCCTTGGAAACCCAAGGAGGGGTCGCTGTGAGTCAGGTCCAACTCGATGGCAAATAACAACATTCAATCTGTATGCTGACGTAGCATCAGGTTTGGAGGAAGACTCATTAACAACATTCATTAACATTAACACAGATGACACAACTTTGCTTGCTAAAAGTGAGGATGATTTGAAGCAGTTACTGATGGAGATTGAAGAATACAGTCTGCAGTATGGATTACACCTGAATATAAAGAAAATAAAACTCCTCACAACTGGACCAATAAACAGCATCATGATAAATGGAGGAAAGATTGAAGTTGTCAAAGACTTCACATTACTTGGTTCTACCATTAACACCAATGGAAGCAGCAGTCAGGACATCAGACGAGGTGCTTCATTGGGCAAATCTGCTGCAAAAGACCTCTTTAAAGTGCTGAAGAGCAAAGATGTCTCTTTGAAGACTAAGGTGCACCTAACTCAAGCCACGATATTTTCAATCACCTCTTATGCATGTGAGAGCTGGACAATGAATAAGGAAGATCAAACAAGAGTTGATGCTTTTGAGTTGTGATGCTGGTGAAGAATACTGAGAGTACCATGGACTGCTGAAAGAACTAACAAATCTGTCCTGGGAGAAGCGCAGCCAGAATGCTCCTTGGAAGCTAGAATGGCCAAACTTCGTCTCACCTACTTTGGTTATGTTGTTAGAAGAACCATTCCCTGGAGATGGATATCATACTTGGCAAAGTGGAGGGTAAACGGAAAATGGAAAGGCCCTCAACAAGTTGGATTGACGCAGTGGCTGGAACAATGGGCTCAAGGACCATGAGGATGGCACAAGACAGTGTTTTGTTCTGTTGTACATAAGGTCCTTTGAGTCTGAGACCACTCCACAGCACCTAATAACAACAACGTGAGTTGGAATTGATTGAAAGGCACCTAACAACCAGAAAGTCCTTGGGAGTCTCCTCTGTCAGAGCCTAGGACTCTCTGCTCCCTGGGAAATAGCCCCACCTGCCGGTGGTTGTGCCTCATTGGTCTTGACCTGAGGTGAGTCCGCATGGTGCATCTGAGGTGTGTTAGTGCCCGTCGAGTCTGCACAACAGAAACACTTTTCGGTCGTGCGTCAGCCATCTGAGGTGTGGGCTGACTGAATTGGACTGTATCGGGTGTATGGAATGGGATGTGGGTAGTGGTGGAGATATTGTTCTGGATGTATGTAATGAGATATGTGAACACCGTTATGTGAGAGGCACGTGGTTCTGGGTGTGTACTGTGCGGGTATTGTGTGTGAAGTGTGGTGTGAGATATATGTCGTGAGCTGTAAGGGATTTTGCTGCTCTCTCTTATATGCGACGTGTGCAGCGTTGAAGGAGTGATTATGTTGTGTTGGCATGTATGTTGTGCAGGAGTTCAGAATAAAGGACAGAGGTGACGGATGCGTAGAGTCTCTGAGGTGTTTGATGCTGTTGTGTTACCATCATGCATGAGATGTGTGAAGCGGAGAATGTAGGACAGAGTGTGGCGTGGAGTGAAATTACTGTTGCTAACAATTCAGTCGCGAGCTTCGCGGTTCCTTAAAACAATTCCCAGGGCTCCTTCACTCTGTAGTCTTAAGGCTTGAGAACTACTATTCCCGGAACGCCCCGCTCCTCCACCTGCCAGAAAAATGGGTCTCTTCGGTGGGCGGGTCTGGGAGAAGGATTTATCTGGAAGAGAAGAAGTGAGGCCAATGGGTGAGCAGAGTCGAATCGAAACCTACGCTGATTGCACGGAGGGTGGATTGGATTCTTTGGCGCCTTAATTTCAGTGGTGGGTGTATGATGGGCGGGTGCAATGACCATTGAAAAGGCGAGGAGGCGGATCCAGATGGTCTGGGCAGGGCGAGGTGCTAACCCGCAGGCCATTTGTCCAATGAAGAACGGAAGTCGCTGAGGCGGGGGTCGGGCGAGACGAGGAGAGGCGGGCGTCTGTGGGTGCTGATAGAACTATGGCGGAGCCAGTGAGGAGAAGGGGCCGGCCGGCCCGAGGCGGCCGAGGTGCTCGAGGGGCTCGGGGGTCCCGGGGCGGCCGAGGCCGGCGTCCTGACGCCCAGCAGGTTCCAGCTCAGCGCACCCTGGACTCGGTGTTTGTAGACTTGATCAGCGATAGCGATGAGGATATTCTGGAGGTCACAACAGCGCGCGGAGCTCCGGACCCTGCTGAAGCTCCTCTCCCGGAATTCCCCGTGCCGGCCGCGTCCCGGAACGACAGGGACAGTGACAGCGACAGCGAAGGAGCGGACGCGCGACTTGAAGGAGCACCGCGGACCGCAGTCAGGCGGCGGCGGCGGCTGCTGCTGGATCCGGGGGAGGCACCGGTGGTTCCCGTATACTCGGAGAAGGTGCAGCCAAATCTCCAGGGAGGGCTAACGCGGAAGGGCTGAAGGGCCAGGAGGCTGGGCAACTAAGAGGGGTTGGGGTGCGGGGAGGCGCTGATCTGGGGAGGGCCAAGGAATCTACTCGATGGCGGTGGGTTTGTTTTGTTTTTGGAGATTAGGGTTCTGGCGTGGGTCTTGGGTGGTTCAGATGGAAGTTAGGGCCTGGGGTTATGGGGCAGAGAGATGCACGACTCCTGAGGAGGGGAAGGAGTTTGGGATTCCCGGAAGCTGGAGTCTTGGGGGCACGGGAAAGCTAAGAGGCTAGGATCCCTAGGGTTCAGGGAGGGGCTGGGAGGATCAGGGATTTGGAGTGTGTTGGGTTTGAGTTAGAGACCTGGGATGTTGGGGATGAGAGAAAGGCTTGAGGGTTGGGGTTCATGGATGTTGGGGGAGGACTGGGGCTGCTCCAGGAGGCTAGAGTCCCCAGTTAGGGTGAGAGGTGGCTGGGCATCCTTAGGAGTCTAAGGAGTCAAATTCTCTTATGGCTAGAGACCTAGTGTTAAACAAACAAACAAACCCAACTAAGCCAAGGAACAATGCTTAGGGAAGAAGGGATTTAGTGGTGAGAGTACTATAATTTTGGAGTTTGGGGAAGCCTGACAGATCCCCAGGAGAGGGCTGTGGTAATCTGTATCCTTAGGGAGGACTTGGGAGCTGGAGAAGGCTTATGTGTTGGGAGGAATCACCCCTCTTATTCCCTTTCAGTTGAGGGAGGACTTGGAGCTGACCCTCCTGCTCTTCTTGGTTTTTGCAGGTGAAAAGCAGTCTCCATCTCATCCCAGATCACCTGCCCCTCTTGAAACTCTGCCCCCCAGGGGCTGAGGAAGGTAAGAGAGGGCACCAGGGAGAGGAGCCTGCTCTGGCCTCTCTGAGACTTCCTGAAGTTCACATTCCTTCCATCATCTGTCTCCTGAGGCTCAGGGATAGGGGATGGGAGAGAAAATGCCCGTATCTCAGGCAGAGAAAGGCTTCAGAAAGCTCCAGAAAGGCTGGGTTATTAACCAGAAGGCACAGGAGTAGATTTAGGGAGGAGTTGGGTCAAACCACCCTCCCCCAACTCTTAACAAGCATGCATGTGTGTTAATTATATAGATTTCCAGGCTGTACCCCTTGAGATTCCAATTCTGCAGTCCTGGTGGGGAGGTGTTGGGAATCTGTAATATGTTGTTGTATGAGCAATAGATTCCTTGGGAACACTGGAGCCAACAGGGTGTTCTTTGAATTTTATCAGATTTTATTTTTACCCTTTATCCTTTCTGGGAATGTGATTTTTGCAAGTCATCCAAAGGCAGTGAATGGGAATCCAGACTGATGGGTGGTGGGGGGAGGGATGCAGACTTTGGACCGGGACTTCTGTACCTTGAGGGAATGTGGTAGAATGAACAAGAATACAGATTTAGGAAGGAGTCTTTTGACCTGGTTTCCTGTGAGCTGTGTGGCTTTGGGCAAGTTACTTAATTTCTCAGTCAGAGGCCTATCTCAAAATCTGGCAAGTAATGGCAAGTGCTCTGGGCCGGCTTGAGGGTGGGTTGCTGATGAGCACTTTCTCTTTCTATTGGCCAAAGCCAGCTGTGAGAGCTCATTCATCAATTTAAAAGGAATTGCTATAGGTTCTGTTTTCCATAGATATATGGCTGCTTTCAATGCTTCAGTTTCCTCACCAGGAAAGAAAAGATAGTAGTGGATCTATGTCAAAGGATTTTGATGAGATTCCATGAAAGGGAAAACTGCAAGGGGCGTAAGTAAAAGGTCCTTTCTACTCAGAGTGTATTCACAATGAGTAAGTCGTTGGTCTTGCAAAATTCTATCGTTTGATCTACAGCATTATTTCTGTCACCAAGGCCATATTTTCTAACTACTGGTGATTCTTCTTTGTTTCCAACTTTTTCATTCCAATCACCAATGATAATGAACACATCTTGATTGAATATTTGCTCAATTTCAGACTGCAGAAGTTGGTAAAAATCTTCAATTTGCTCATCTTCAGCTTTGGTGGTTAGTTAGTGTGTAAATTTGAATAAAAGCAGTATTAACTAGTCTTCCTTGTAGGCATGTGGATATTATCCTATCACTGACAGCATTGCACTTCAGGATATCTTTTTTCTTTTTTTAATTGTGATTTCGGGTGAAAGTTTACAGAGCAAATTCATCTTCCATTACAGCAGTTTACATACACTTTGTCTCATGACATTGACTGTAATCTCCCACAATGCAACAGCTCTCCTCCTATTCCCACCCCCACCCCCACGTAGCCATCTCTTCCCTCTGTCCTTCCTTGCCATGCACTTTCAGAATAGATCTTGATACATTCTTTGTGATGATGAATGCTATGCCATTCCTCTTTGTCATTCCCAGCATAGTAGATCATATGATTGTCTGATTCAAAATGGCCAGCCAGTTTATTTCAGCTCACTAATGCTCTTTCTTGATCTTTATGCTCTATTGATCTTTATGCATTCCATTTGATTTTTCACAATTTCTAATTTTCCTAGATTCATACTTCATACATTCCCATACATTTCATCTTCTGATTATTAATGGATATTTGCAGCTCTTTCTTCTCATCTTGAGACGTGCAGTATCAGCAAATGGAGATTCCGAAAGCTTTACTCTATCCGTATCATTAAGGTCAGCTCTACTCTGAGGAGGCAGCTTTTCCCGTCATATATTCAATGCCTTCTGACCTGAGGGACTCATCTTCTGGCACTATATTCAACAATGTTTCAAGGCTATTCATAAAATTTTCCAGTAATATCTCAGACAGTGTTTCACTGCTATTCATAAGGTTTTCACTGGCCAGTTGTTTGAGAACTGGATGGCCTCTTCCTTCTTCCAAGTCTGTCTTAGTCTGGAAGCTCCACTGAAACCTGTCCACCATAGATAACCCTACTGGCACTTGAAACACTGGTAGGACAGCTTCCAGCCTCACAGCAACACGCAAGCCACCACAGAATGGCAAACTGACAGGCAAGTTGGTCTCTCTTAGTTATTCCAAACCACTGCACTCCCTTCCTGGCTTCCCCCAGCCACTCCAACACTTGCCTGCCCTGCGTGTCTGGCTCACTGCTTACCCTGCCTGCCCCAGGTGCTCCAAAACACCCACCAACCTTGTGCACCTGGCTTGCTGCTTACAAGCTTACTTAATTCATTGCAAATGCCTTTTTTCAACAACACAAATGGCAGCTATACATATGGACTTCACCAAACGGAGTACACAGGAATCAGATTGACTACATCTGTGGCAAGAGGCGATGGAAAAGCTCAGTATCTTCAGCAAAACAAGGCCAGGAGCCGATTGTGGAACAGACCATCAACTGCTCAAATGTAAGTTCCAGTTGAAGCTGAAGACAATTAAAAGATGTCCAAGAGAGCCAAAATATGACCT